TGCTCAGTTAAAGTAATCTTATCTTTCACCATGTATAAATAGACTTAATATGATACTAATTGAAGTGTGCTTTTCTTCATTCTCTCAATTCTTCATGGTATCAGAGCAGAAATTATAAGGGGTCTATCGCTGCTATTGCAGGACCCTTATCGAGTCGACGTCGAGAAATATTTTTGTTGTCCGACATCACACCACTACCAAATTTCTCATCGTATGTGGCAGTCCCCCCTTTCCAGATCCTAGGTGGATCTGCCCCCCCCCCACTCGCCGCCCACAGTCGATCGTTCGACGATAGCTTCCCTGCTTCTAGTCTTGACCACGACTACCGCACCAAGTTCCAAGCCTACGGTGCAGCGCTAAGCATTTGTTGGGCCCAGTCAACGCATTTGGTGACTTTGCATCGCAAGGAGCACACACTCTTGGTTCCTTCTTACCATAGAATTTTTTTTTATTCTTCCTCCCTCCTTACCGTAGAAAAGTGCCAACACTTCTTACTTTTAATTTTTCTTCCTCTTTACTGTAGAACTTGTTGATTCTTCTTACCTTCTTATTGTAGAAGTACCAACACTTCTTCCTTTTTATTTTTCTTTTGATCCTTGTCATTGCTACATACTTCTACTTGCTCCCACATAGTAGTCCATATCTTTCATATGTCTTCATCATCTCGTAACTACTCCAAACACTACCGATGATAATTGGATCGTGGACTCTGGTGTATCCCACCATATTACCTCTTATCTAGAGAACTTGTCGATCCACAACAACTATAGTGGACATGACGACATCATCATCGGTGATGATAAAGGACTTCCTATTATTCATACTGGTTCCACAATGCTTAGTTCACATACCATAACTTTTACACTCGATGATGTTTTGTGTGCACCTCACATTAAACGTAATTTTATTTCTGTTTCTCAATTTTGCAAACAAAATAATACCTTTATTGAATTCTTTCCTAACTCTTTTCTTGTCAAGGATTTGAACACGGGGGTATCCTTGGTCCAAGGTCAGAGTAAGGATAATGTTTATGAATGGTCGTCCGTTCCACAACTCAAACAGCCCACTGTTTACTCCTTAGTGGCAGCTCTAATCGATGTGTTGCATCGTCGTCTCGGTCATCCCTCTCTCTCTATCCAAAATAAATTACTTTCTCATTGTTCTCTTTCTACTCCTACAAATAATAGCTTTTATTGTGATATTTATCTCAGTAATAAAAGTCATAGACTCCCTTTTAGTTCTTCTTCCATATCCTACCTCTCAACCTATGGTATCCAACACCTAGTCACCCCCACACACTCCTCAACTAGTTGGTTCTGCTGAACGCAAACATCGATATATTGTAGAAACTGGTCTCACGCTTCTACATCAAGCCTACATGCCAGCAACCTTTTGGTTTGTAGCCTTTTAAACTGTCGTCTACCTTATTAATCGTCTGCCCACTCCAGTTCTCCAATATCATTCTCTATTTGAAAAACTATTTTCTAAATCCTCAAACCTTCAAAAACTCCAAATATTTGGTTGTTTATATTATCCATGGCTACGTCCCTATGCCATAGCGCCAAGATCTACACCTTGCATATTCATAGGATATTCTCTTGAACATAATGTCTTTCGATGCTACGAACCAAAACCTCGAAAAGTCTTTATTTCACGTTATGTTGTTTTTGTGGAGTCTGCCTTTCCATTTCAAAACCATGAGTATACCATGCCGGCTACTCCAACAAACTTCTCGGTTCAACAACTTCCCACTCCCTCCATTGTTTCTCATCTTCCTTCTTCACAAGCCTCCCCTACTACTGACATAATATCCTCAGAATCACAACAACCTTCTTTACCTAGTACCACTAATGTATCTCAGCCTATCCCGACCCTTGTCAATGCCTCTCCACCACCCATACCAATACCACAATTTCTAGTTCCTTGACATCCAATGACAACATGCTCAAAAAGTGGTATCTTTAAACCACGTCAGGTTCTCGACCTACATCCTATCACCAAATCCTCTCCTGATACCAGTGAACCCACCACAATTACTAAAACCCAAAAATATGCTAGCACTTACGACAACTGGACGTTAACAATGCCTTTTTACAGGGGACTTTAATTGAAGATGTCTTTATGTAGCAACCCCCTGGTTTTGTTCATCACCAGTATCCGAGACATGTTTGCAAATTATAAAAAGCCATTTATGGGCTTTATCAAGCTCGTACTGAACTTGGATCGTTTCTAATATCAATTAGTTTCGTCAACTCCAAGTCTAATACCTCTTTATTCCTACGACAACAATATGGAAATATAATATATCTTCTAGTATATGTAGATGATATTATTGTTACAGGCAATGATCCCTTAGAGATTCAAACATTTTTAAAGCAATTGACTTATCGATTCTCCCTCAAAGATTTAGGACCCTTGAGCTACTTTTTGGGAATGGAAGTAACATTTACATCCTCAGGTCTCCTCTTCTCACAGAGAAAGTATATTCAAGACTTATTATCAAAGACAAATATGTAGGATGCGAAAGAAGTTGCTATTTCTCTCTCTACTAGTGAATCACTCAAATTATGTGATGGTAGCCCTACCACGGACTCAACTCAATACCGATAAGTACTTGGCTCCTTATAGTACTTGGCTCTCACCCGTCCAAATATCTCATTTGCAGTCAATAAATTATCTCAATACATGCACCAGCCTTCTACTATGCATTGGTCTCTGGTTAAACGAATTTTGCGGTATCTTAAAGGGACCCTTAATCATGGTCTCTTTCTCTGCAAAACCACTCAACTTCATCTTCATGCCTTTGCTGATGCTGATTGGGCGGAAAACTTTGATGATAAAACCTCCACGTCAGTGTATGTGGTCTTTCTTGGGTCTAATCCAATCAATTGGAGTTCTAAGAAACAAAAGACAATGGCCCGGTCTACAACTGAAGCTGAATATCGTGCTATTGCTACCGTTGCTGCTAAACTCAATTGGGTCACAAATCTCCTCAAGGAACTCAAAGTCAGCTATACCCATACTCCTACAATATATTGTGACAATGTTGGAGCTACCTACTTATGTATAAATCTAATGTTTCACTCACGCATGAAACACATTGCCATCAACTTTCACTTCATGCGAGATCAAGTTGTTAGACATCAACTTCGTGTCTCTCATATTCATACGGCTAATCAACTAGCAGACTCACTCACGAAGCCTCTAGCCCGCAAACTATTTTTGTTGCATCGATCCAAGATTGATATCCTTGATAGGAGTTCGATCTTGCGGGGGCATGATAACAGAGAGATTTCCTCAACCGTATGAGGTAATTTCTCTGCTCAGTTAAAAAAATCTTATCTTTCACCATGTATAAATAGACTTTTCATGTGATACTAATTGAAGTATGTTTTTGTTTATTCTCTCACTTCTTCAGTATCATGATAGTCAAAACTATAAAAATATATTGTTTTATCTTCCATTGAAGTGAGTATATAGCTATAACAGAAATTTATAAAAAAGGACTATGATAAAAAGGTACCAAAAAAAGTTGGGAGTCATCTCAAGCAAGAGAGTTTATCTTACATTACTATAATCAAGGTGTTATTCATCTCAATAAAAGATTCAATATATGTGAAATTAGTTCAGATAGTTAGGATTTTTGGTGATATGGACAGTATTGTCCTTGGATTGATTGGGGTAGATCTTTGATATTTCTTAGTTTTTCTCGTTGATTTCTTAAAACTCATTTGAGTGCCTAAATATCTCATAATTAATCTAGAGAGAGTGACATTATAATCTCATTATTTTATATTGAAAGATTGATTGGGTTTGCTCGTGATTTTTGTTTTCTTCGTGTTGAAGGGTGCTTTCACATATATTTTTTTTTCATAATTTGTTTAGTATTCTATCACTAATTAGATTAACTTATACACTTAGATTATTTATAATAAATTTAATGTTAAATTATATCTTATTTTATTTATATAGAAAAATTATATTATGTTGTTTATCGCTTTCATAGATTCAAAATTTTATATTTATTTTTTTTCTAATAAATATCAAGTATGGAGTGTCCGATCACTTTGAGAAGCATGAAGACGTGTAGAAAGTTTACTAGGTTGGCGATTAGTTGTGTGCGGAGGGAGAGGTAGACATGACATGACACCCTCTATATTGAGAGAGAGAGAGAGAGAGAGAGAGATATGGAGAAGAGGACTTAATGATTTCACAAGTCTTAATTAAGTCTTAATTGAAAAAAATAAAGGGATGAGAAGGTAAAAAAAAATAAGGGCACGAAAAGAGGTTGGCGAATGGTTGCGTGTGGAGAGATAAGGACGACACTCTGCTTATTCAAATGGGAAATAGGACTCATTTCACAAGCCTTAATTGAATGACCAAACTGCATCTTTAAAATTAAAATTAAAAAAAAAATTTATTAGATTGGATTAGACCACTAAAATGGGGTGTATCGATTCATATTAATAATATATTATATCTAAAAACTTAAGATGTCTTAACCCAACACGTACACATTAATTAAGAAATTATTTTATAAAAATAATCTGCACAAAAATTGAACTCAGCACCATTTCACCTTAATGCCAATGTCGAATTTTTTTTATGAACACAACACTACTATTATATGTAAAAACGTAAAGTCACTAAAGTAGACATTATTTTAATTTGTATTCTGTTCTTAATAGGATCATTTTGTTCCTTTCTGCTGTTGAACGGTGGAGGGCTGCTCTGCTCATTACAACTCCCCACAAGTTCTTCCTGCTACTTGCTAATCCTTCAAACTGGTCTCGAGAGGTTTTCGGATCGATCCATGCTCGATGGTGTCCGAGTCCGATAATTTTTGGGCTCGGATCTGCATTTGATCCTACGGTGACACGTTTCCTGGATGGATCCGACCCGATAACACCTTGCGAACGAAGGATCAGCTAGCCATCTGCCAAGCGGGCACGTGCGTCGTTCTGCGAAGGGCACAAACCCACCGCAGCGCTGCGTCGCGCTCGCGCTCGCTTCTCCTCTCGCTCTCTCTCTCTCTCTCTCTCTCTCCCACTCTCGCTCGCGTGCAGCGTTGCCATGCTCGGTCGATTAGTTGCGAGGAGAACAGCAACCAAAGCTCTCCTACAATGCCCCAAAACCATCCCACTGCCCGTCTCCGCAGCTCGGTGCTTCGGGACCGGCGGCGGAGATGCCTCCTCCTCTCAGGAGCGACTCGCCCTCGACATGATCCGCTACGCCCTCGGCCACGCCAGATCCCAGAAATCAGGTCCCTGACCCTTCCCCTGTTCTTCGATTGTTCCCCCGTTCGTTTATTTCGTAGATAGTTTTCAGGGTTTCTGGCGGATCGACCCGTTTATGACTTGTTTTGGATTTGCAGGTGATTCGTATGCCCACGCGATGCTGGTTCTGGAGCAAGGGTTGTCCAATTTGAGGGGAGTTGTCGGAGCCGGAGGAGCTGTGGATGGGGCTGGTTCGAGCGACAACGCCATGGTCATGCTCATGCTCGCCATGTCCACTTTGCACTATGAGAGGTTATTACTTACTCTTCTCGATTGCGGTGGCTAATGTTGCTTATGAGTACTCCTTAGATGTGGAATGGATGATTGCGATTTCATGTGCAGAGGGGAGCTTCGAGATGCTGCCGAGAAGCTCGAGATGGTTGGCCAGTTGGGGCGAGCCTCCTTGGATCTCAGAGGTCCGCCGCAACTTGATTTTTGTCTTCAAAATCTTGTTTTAAGAAAATTATAAATTCATCGATTAGCATTTTTTTCTTGTGATATCCTCATAGCCGCATTCTCAAAGTCCTAATATTTGAATTCCCTTGCCAGGTATTGTTTTCTTTACGTGATAAGCAAATTTATGTTTTTATTTTTAGTTTTTGGACAACTTCATTCCACTGTATTATGAAGTCAGAGATCAGCAATACAAGCTAAATTTCTTTGCTTAATTTAGTGATAATAAATTTGAGCAAGGCCTTTTCTGATGGAAAGCCTATAAAGGCTTTACACGCTCATTTGGATTTGTATCTATGATCTAAATAATTGCATTAGTACTTATTTATCCTTTTCACTTTTTACCTTCTGAATAAGCAGTTGCAGCTTGGGAGAGTCGGGTAGGGTTAAACTTGGAGACAAGTGAGGTATGTAATTTGAACTGCCTTTTTTCTCAATAATCTTCCGATAGATTCATTTAAAGATTTTCGTGCAATAGGATGTCACTTCAAAGCTGGTCGAAGATGATTGTTCCCGTTTGCTAAGAACCAGCACAGAGAGTGGTTTACCTGTGTCGGAGGTCACCAAACTTCGTGCTAAATACATTAAGGGTCTTGTTGATCTTGTAAACGGGGATGTCAAATCAGGTTTCTTTTTCTGAGTTCCTCTTGGAAAATTTAAATATTTTTTTATGATTGAAGTTAAATGATATAAAGAGTTAAATGAGAAGCGAGATAACTTGTATTCTTTTTCTCAGCGGAGTTATCTTTTGGTGGTTCTAAGGACTGTGGCCTGGAAGAAGGTGAACATCAATTTGTTAAAACATGGCTAACATCAAATGAGTAGAAGGAAAAAAAAAAGCTTTCCTACTCGACTAACATGAGATGCGATTCACCCTTGATGTAGGAAATGGCCTTCTTTCTCGAGGGGAATTTTCACATTGCACTGGGAATTTCTCATTTGCAAAAGAGTTATATGAGAAAGCACTCTTGACTTCCGAAGCCAGAGATACTTCCAGCATTACTTATCTAGCTGCTGCTAATATGGTTCCCGAAGAAGTTATAATCGGAGCTACCTGTGCCTTGGGGCAGCTTTTATCTCATTCAGGGTAATTTAGCCATTGATCTAAAATTTAGCTTTCGATGTCTATATGATTAACTTCATATATAAAAAAAGTCATTCAACTGTAGCTTGTATGTCAATTTGTATTATAACCCAGGGCATATAGAATTCTCGTTGTTTATATAGTTTATCTTGATTGTATTGTTTCAAATGATATACAATTTTTAGCCCTACTATCTTGTGATTCACCTTAATCTAGTTTGCTTATCCACTCAGGAAATTTGAAGAGGCAGAAGAACTGCTGACAAAGGCTCTTGTTAAGGCTGAAGAACACTTTGGTTTGTCGTTTTTGCCTTCTTTAATTTTTTTAATAGTTTATCTGCTTTCTGTTTGCCACATAGTGTTCTTCGTTGTGACTTAGGTTCAACTCATCCAAAGGTTGGTGTTGTGTTGACTTGCATAGCCATCATGTATAAACATAAGGCACAGATGGAAGCATCGAGTTCTATACTGATCCAGGAGGTTAGCTGATACTTATGCTGCATATAATGATTTTGAGTTCTTTCCCCTTTGCTTCAGACAAGAAAATATTGTGTACATAACATCTTAAAATTAAGCTCCCACTTTGTCCGATTCTCCCTTTCACTTTCTGAAGATATCTCAAAGATAACCAAACCCTGATGATATACTCAAAATCTTACCGAGCATCCAAACCATGATATACTCAAAATCTTACTGAGTAGGAAATTGTTCAGTCCCTTTTTTGCAACGAAATTTATACAAGTTGAACCATCAGTAATCATTTTGTAGTTAGCACTCATTTCAGAGCGTTGCAAGCTATATCTTAAAATGCATATGTTTTCTAGTAAAAAAGAACATACATCCCACTGTACAACATATAACTCTGTCCACTATTGACCAAGTCTAGGATATATAAGGGTTTTGTTTCTTCAAGTCAGTCGAGGTCTTTTGGTTATGAGCATGGCTAAGCATTGATGGGTACCGAAGGGGACTTTGACTTCTTTGTTTCTTTTCTTAGTATGTACTTTGATAATACGATTTGCATTGTCTGCTGAACCATTTATATTGACAAGTGGTTACATGTTTTGACAGGGACTATATAGGAAGGCCACAGATTTGCTCAAAGCCCCCTCCTTGGATGGTGAAGGTACATGATATTTCCTTTATGTTCATTTTTTATTTAGATTGTTTGAGTTTTGACCAAGAGAACCTTTTTTTGTATTTGTGCAGTTGATGTGCAGGTAGATGGATGTGACATAGTCGCCCTAGCAAGAGGTAGCACCCTGGACAATCTTGTTTGTTTTGTTATGATATTGTCTATTCATTGATATTGGTTTTAGTTCGAAACTAAAGCCTATCTTGTAGAAAAGTTTGACTTTTATGAGATCCTGTCCATTCTTAATCTATGATGATTCGGTGCATTAATTTCCATCCTTCAAACTATCCAATCTATCGAGAGAAGCTTGTGTAAAACTCTAGTTTCTCATAATTTTTGGTGAAAAGCATCCAAACAGTGGGACTCACTTTCGTCCCACTGTATGTGTATGAATTATCTCTTTCTAATTTTGACATGTTATTGTTCATTGCTAGGTTTGACTAATCTGTTTCCTGTTGATAAATCTGAAGGTGGATATGCAGATCTGTTATGCATTCAACAAAACAGAAAGCAAGAAGGGGAGCGAATGAAGAAGTGGGCTGAGTCTATGTGGAGGAACCGACGATTATCTCTTGCAGAAGCCCTGGAATTTTCTGAGCCTTCAAAATCTGCAGTTGTCGACACCCGAATATGCCGAGTCCTGTAGATCAGCAAAGCTTATAGGCTATCTAAAATGAAGAAGTCACTACTGGATAAAATTTCAGTAAAAGATCCAGTGCAGTTGACCCCCTATATCATACTGTCAGTTTCAAGGACGATGACCATTGCCCCTCTAAAATGGAGAAGTCACTACTAAATAATGATTCATCGTGTTTTTTATATTCTCACGGTGACAGACATCATCAGAAATTGCGTATCATGACGACTTTTGTATGTGATAATGTGGTGGATTTTGGAAATTTCTGCTACGAGTATGAAACTGAGATACACTGTAGTTGTGAGCTTCTTCTTTCTCCGATTCATAAACTATCGTGACAGAAAACTCTTATCAAGCTACGATTACATGATCTTAAAGACAACTTCCAGCTGAATGATGTGTTTGTTTCCAAATAAACAATCTGATGATTCATGGAATGCTGTACATTTGGATACTTGGAATCAGGAAAAATGCTTTCTTGTGTTGGATCTCTGCTTCTCTTCCCTCTTCTGCTTCTTTCAATTTGGGTCTGCTTCTGCTACATGAGGAACGCACTGAGCCGTTCTCAAGTAAACCACAGAATGCGTGCGTATGGAGAGCTCATCCATCATCTTCTGGCATCCATTAACCTCCCCCTTCATGAACAGAAACGAAATAATGTAACTCGTGGAAATGAAGACGTCTATACATTGCTAGATTTGTCCTACCGTGTGTTGCAGAGGAATCAAGAAGGGGAGCATGGAGAAGAAGAAGCCGGCTTCGCTTCCTGCGATGGTTTTGAGAGCCGACACTGCCACGCTCGACGGATCAAAACGGAGGAATTCGCTCTCTAGCCATTAGATTTCCATGTCAGAAGCCGTGCAGGGACGTGGGTTGGGGGACGGCCGTTCACTGTACCTGATAAAGCGCAGAGGAGGAGCTCGATCGTGCGAGCAATGCACGGAGTGCGTGTGTGCTCCGAACCCCACGTCAGGACTTCCACGTACGACAAGGGCGTGATGCATGCGAGCCGCCAGTCCAGCCTCTCGAGGACCATCAATTCCATCTCTTGGATCGTGCTCGCCCCAAACGAATGGCTCAGGTCCTCCATCTAAATGTGCCACCAGCACGATCACCACCACCACTAGATTACATGTTAGTTCATCATGTGGTAACACTAACCTGGAGATCATACCACGAAGGAATGGAGACCTCGTCCATCTTGGAAGCAATGGAGAGGCAGGCGACCGATAACAGGTCCACCATCCACTCTTCCCACCTCTATTCCAATTCAGCAACAAAAGAGTCATCACCGCAGTTGCTAAATGTCATCAAGAATACGGTGATGTAATTACCATGACACAGTTCATGGAGATGAATCGATCGAGGTAGTTCACAGCGCTGAAGGCGGTGCCGGTAGCCAGGTTTAACCGGCTGCAAACCTGAAGAAAAGAGAACGAATTCAAGATCAAGTATTATGGTTCACCAAAGAAGGAAGACGATGGCCTCCTTTACCTGTGCGATGTATCGTACTGCTCTGGTTCTTGCAGCGGAGAGATTGGAAGACTGCCGCAGGTAAGCTAAGTAGCCACGTCGGGGCGCATACTGATGCTCCCTCTCCAGGAGATCACGCAGGCTGTTATCTCGGTCTTCGTCGGCGTTGGGTGGAGGTGAAGAAGAACGTCTCGGTGATGGTGTGGGACTAACAAGGAAGGGCTCCTCGTCGCACAAGAGGCACGGACCGCTGCTCTCCATCAAGGGAAAGAAGAGGTTCTCTGACATGCGAAGTAACTCGACGACGCCAACAGCCAATCTGCTGCAGCTTTTTATAGAAAGAGGAGAGAGGAGCTCTGCAGCGACAAGTACGCTATCAGTGGAATCTATAGTAAACCTGAGACTGCTACAGCTGCGTCTTCTCAAGGCTTACAGACATCGAAGGACGTCGATGTCGATGATGGATTGATGCCGTCTGAGGATTAAGGCCGAGCATGCGTGGGATGTGGCCAGTTTGGTGGGGCTTTAAGATGTGGGAGGGCGGCCCTCATGAACAGGAGTGAATGCTTGGGAGTATTTATATAGCGCTTCACATAAAGGGTTTGACCAATGGCGTGACGGTGCACGAGATGGGCCCTTCTCCTCGCAAGCAGTAAGTAGTAGCGGCGTGGTTGGGTTGGCACAGCCAAGCTAACACACGTTTGGACACCTCTTCTACAGCTCTACCGCCTGCGCAGAGTTTGTTTGGGTAGGAGAGACGGAGGGCAGATAAGGTGTTTGCTGAAATGTGTAACGGGGGACCATTTCACGCGGTTTGGTCTGGTCTCTCGTGGATCGTATGATTCCGTCAACTATAGGCGAAAACACCAAAACCTCGCTCGATATATTTTACGTGTTAAATATTAATAATATATTTACACATAAAATATTATTGATCTGATAGTAATTTACTACCACACCAACTCATCAAAAACTGATTAGTAAATATTGCTGATCTATCTATATATCAACTTAACCTAATACATTAAAAAAAATTCAAATATAATTTTATTATAAATCATGACCTTAATAAGTCTTGAATACAAAGGTCTTTTCCTCTTATACCAATTTAATTTTTTATTAGTGTTATTTTATCTAAAAGTTTATGATATATTATTTATATTTTTTGAATAATTATAGCAAATTTATAATGAGCCTGATTTGGACCCAATTTAATCGATTCAATGCTACTATAGTAATTTAGACGCATAACTTCCAAATCTCAAACCAAAAAAATAAAAAGCTTATAGATTTCTAAGGTTGCATTGAATTGATTAGATGCATTAAACTAAGGTTTCAAATTATCTCTATTGATTGGTATTTATAGGTCCGATCAATGATCGATATCAGGCCATATAGCTTAATACTAATCAGTGTCGTTATTTATGTATAAGCCAAATTTTAAACCTTGTGTTGGATAAATAATTTGCACCGACAAAGTTCATCATAAGCCTCGTTCTCATCATGTCTGATAGATTTGAGTCCAACCCACAAAACGGTAGAATAGCTTAGATGTGCGAAGAAGACACAGGACATGATGTCAGTATCACACCTTCCAAAAACAATACCTCCTCAGAAGGTTACTCACAAGCACACAAGAGACGCCCAGTCCGTCCTGCTTTCAATGTGGTGGTGGATTAATCTATATGATATCCTCACCATCTGAGATGAGTGATGACGAATGAATAGCTGAACTGTAATTTCCCTGATTTTTCTGAGGAAATGTAAATTAAAAATATATCAGGGAATAAATTGTAAGAGTATAAAATAAATAAGGGTTTGCTTTCTACCGTCTCTCATGTCTCTCTTGGAAGGAAAACAGACGTTGCGTCTGTGGGAGAGAAGGGAAGAACAGATAGAAAGAAGAAAGAGGTCTCGACTGTGAGGAGGAGGAGAAGAAGAAGTGGTGAAAGAAGAACTAGAGAGAGGATCTCGGGGATGGAGCAAAAGGAAGAAAACAATAAATGAGAGGATAGAGAGAAAAAATAATTATTATTATTATTAAGAAAAATATATTGAGGACTCCTTTTGATGCAAAATGGATTTAGATTAAGCTCAGACAAATTATATTAGGTATGATTTTGAACTCTTTTTGTATTCTTATTATTTAGATTTATGTTTTGAATTATAAATTATTGAATCACAATTTCTTAGTTAATTAGATATTTATATTGTTAAGGAAATAAATAATAATAATGATATTGAAAGAATAAGGAAAGAAAAGATGAGAATATGTTATATTGAGGATATGCCATAAATATCTGATCATTGTATGCCTTTAGAAATTATAAATATATGTGATTTACATGATTTATAGATTTTTGTACCATTTAGGAGTCTTACATAAGAATTTAGATGTTTATCATTTGCAAAAGCAAATGATGTAAATAATTATTTTTTTATGTTATAAGCATCTATTGATTTATGCTATCTAATTCGTATAAAAATATCTATTCAACCATTATATTTGAAATGCATTAAAAAATAATTATTATTAGTTTTGAAATGGTGTATTAGTTTTAAAATGATATACGAAAATAGGATTTGATAAAACTCTTAATTTTGTAAGAAAGTAATTGATATGTTATCTTTTATGATAATTGTCTAGTTAGTCATGACGCAAGGAGATATATGTTATCTACACGAAAGAGGTTAAACATAATTGTGAGCCTTGTCATGAGGTATGATGTAGTTGTATCCATTAATACTATTATAACAACATGACATTAATTATATTTATATTCTCATTATGAAAATATATTTAAATGCGTCATATGCTTTGAAAAGTATTATTAGTAAACCATAATTTCAAATGCATATTTAAACTTTATAAGCATAAAAATATTTAATATTTATATATATTTCGAAAGCATATGTTAAATATATAAAAAAAAATTATTTATTTTAAATAAATATTTATTTATAATAAGTTTTGACCAGCATACGAGTCGTAATGCTTAGTGAGCTGTGGTTTGCTCATAAAATTATCTCTAATTTTTTTAGTATGTAATAAAATTGATTATTGATTGAATTATATAATTATTTATTAAAATTACTGTACATTATAATTACTTTATATATATGTATATATATTATTTGGATTGAAATATTATACATTTTTAGAGTTGTTGAATATATTAATTGTCCTATAAGTAGATTGATTATGGGCTGAGTTGTGCGATTAATGTCATGTGAGTTGATTAATTATGTAATAATTATTCTGTAGAAATTATTTGTTTTGGTTCTGATCTTACATTCTTAAATAGAAACATGTAAAGTTTTGACATTGTACCATTTTCAACCTTCCGTTAGATTTAGAGAGTTACATTTTCAGCAATTTTCTCTCAAAGACAACAGTCTAAACATTTAAGATCTCATTCCTTTTGGCATGTAACAATCTTACAAGTTCTAAACAATGGGAGATGGAGCTATTATTAATGTTCCAAGGTCCAAAGCAAGCGCACTACAAGCAGAAAAGCACTGAAGCCAAGTTTGACCAAACCAGAATGCACTAACCAAAATGCTTTCTTGGGATGGAGGGTAAGGTATCACTATCATCCATGTCAATGAAATATTTCAGCTTCATCATCTAGTCGGTATACAAGCGATCATTAGTATAGTCCATGATAACATCCAATTCAATCGAGTAAAGCAAAACATATGATGCATATCCAAAAGCCTGAAAGGACTGCATGTAGGCAAAGCACACGCAGTCTTCCATCATTGCAGAGGAGGTGATGGCGAAAAGACTCATCCTCACTCCACATCTTTCACTTGAGCCTTCTGTATTGAGCTCAAAGAGTGCAGCACAAAGCTAAACACAGGTACGGGAAGCTTCTTGTCCAAGAGCAGCCGAACCCTTGGAGATCTTCTCGGAGGAGGCAAGGTAGGAATGCACGAAGTCGTCGAACCCGCCGTTGCTCTCGCCGGCGTCGTATTCCTCCGGGGGTCCGGCCAATGGCGGCACCTCCGCGGCGTCTCCACGATCGAGGTAACGCACCACCTCCCTCGTGCCTGGCCTGGCCGCTGCTGAGGGGTGGGAGCACCAAAGCCCCACCTTTATAGCCACCACCGCCTCTTCGCGGTCGTAGTCGTCGCCCAGCCGGTGGTCCACCACGTCCGCCCACCGCCCCGAAGTCCACCGCTCCCATACCCAGTCCACCAGCACCAGCTCCTCCGGCAACGCCTTCGGCTCGACAGGCCGCCGCCCGCACACCACCTCAAGCACCAGGGTGCCGAATGCGTACACGTCGGAGCTGGTGGTGGCTTTGCCGGTGCGGGTGAGCTCAGGCGCGAGGTAGCCCAGGGTGCCCACCGCGCGGGTGGTGCTGGGGTTAGCGCCGTGGTCGTGGAGCTTGGCCAGCCCGAAGTCGCCAAGGCGGGGGTTGAACTCGGCGTCGAGGAGGACGTTGCTGGCCTTGACGTCTCGGTGGATCACGACGTGCTCCCACTCCTCGTGAAGGTAGAGGAGCGCGGAGGCGACGCCGCGGAGGATCCTGAAGCGCTGTGGCCACGAAAGGACCGGCCTTGGCCGCTGGCCGAGAGAGTCGTCGCGAAACAGGAACTTGTCGAGGCTGCCGTTGGGCATGTAATCGTACACCAAGAACAGGTCTCCGCGGCGGCGGCACCAGCCCCGGAGCTGGACCAGGTTCCGGTGGCGGAGCCGCCCCACGCTGGCTATCTCCGCCAAGAACTCGCGGATCCCCTGCCTTGACTCGTGGGACACTCGCTTCACCGCCACCTCCACCCGCGAGCCCGGAAGGGTCCCCTTGTAGACCTTTCCGAACCCGCCGAAGCCCAGGAGCTGTTGGTCTCGAAACCCCTCGGTGGCTCGCTTCAGCTCCTCGTAGGCGAAGCGATGCGGGCCGCAGTTGAGCTCCCACGCCTCGATCACATCGGCATTCTTGATCCAGTAGAAGAGGTAGGCTGTGGCGGCGGCGGCAGCGATCAGTAGAACAAAGGTCGTGACAGAGATAGCGACAGTCAAGGTGACATTTTTCTTCTTCGGTTGAGGCAGCGACGGCAGGGAGGAGAGTTCGAGGGATCGACAGGCGCCCTTCATCTTAAAACTCCATCCGAAGAGGTAATGGGTGCTCGCGAGCAGTCCAGTTGACGCCGAGAAGCCCACGAACATGTCGTCGAGGAGGACTGGGGACAAATCCACCTGAAACGATAGCAGCGGAGTACTCGGCTTCGTGGAGAAAGGGGAAAGGGTGACGTTGAGGACCTTCTCGGCTCCGTCGTAGTCTACCCAAGCCTGGATTGTGTAACCACCCTTGAGATTGAGGTCCTTCTTGACGCCATCGTTGCCATAATAAGCGGCGGAAGCTGTCGGGTAAGAGACCAAGCTGTTAACGTCGACGCCGACGTGGTTATCGTTGACGTCGTCGAACTCGAAGTCCTGGACGGTGTCGAACTCCACGGCGAATACGTGGTTGGTGGCGTTTCCGACGTCGGAGGCATTCATGAGGCCGAGATACTGGCTGGGCAGGGCCCCCGGGAGCTCTTTGGTCGGCGCAATGGTGAAGGCGAGGCCATGGCCACCGAGCTTGGGGTACTCGGGCACGATGGCGAACGCGAAGGTGGTGGAGAAGGAAAAGGCTACGCCAGTGGTGGCGTTCCGGAACCGGAGGGCCGCAGGGTAGAAGGCGTGGCCGATCAGCCGGCTCGTCTCGTTCGTCAGCCGCAGGATCCCGCTGTTCTCGATCTCCGCCACGTCGTTCAAGCTCATGTTGCTTCCGCCGCCATCTGCATCGCCGGAGAAGCCTATGTAGACAAATTCGTCTTGCTGGGCGGAAGCCGAGAGGAAAAGAGAGAGGAGAAGAGTGAAAAAGATTGGACTATTAGGCATCGCAGAGAGAGAGAGAGAGAGAGAGAGAGAGAGAGAGAGAGAGAGGATCTGGAAAGCTCCTGTAAGGAGCTTATGTAGCGACTTGGAAGGACGAGCCACTTGTCATGATGTGGAGATGATGGTGCCCTGTAGTGTAGCCACTGTCGTGTTGTAGAGATGACTTTTCGACTGTTGGATTATCACAGGATATTAGAGCAACGGCCAAGATCACAGGAACGACACGAACCGGAGGATGCCAAGGAATATTTCTGCAGTCAAAAGCTGTAGAACAGTGTCGGGGCGCACGTGATCCCTTTTGATGCCCGCTCTCTTACTCATCGAGTCCGAATTCACCGACAGCGGGACGGTCGACTCCTGAGGGGGCCGGAGTTGCGGGAATCAATTCCTCAGGTGGTGGGCCTCAGTTACGGGGGACGAATAAGTTGGAAGGGCATCAAAAGGTCAACGTCTGGGCTAACTGGTCAGAAGTCATCATCCATATATCCGTTGACCTCAGAATACTGCCACAGTCTCCACGTTGATGCGTGTTTTCATGTTCATTAAGCTTGCTCAGTCGACCGATGTTCTTATATGACTAATGTATAGCTTGCCATCTGTGTGTTAGACAAGGATATGCATAGATATAATGATCCAGCTTAAGGCTTATAGGGAGGATTATGGACTTTGCCCTCTCAGTGATTGCTTGAGCCATCAGCTCATCTTCCGATTGTTCGTGCCCTGATGCTGGCTGTAGCTATCATGCAAGTACATGTTGCACATGTTTCACAAGATTGTGGTGGCAATCCCAATTCCAAGACACATGCAAACGGATTACGTTGATCAGACTGCTGAAAACTATGACACCACTTCACCAATCGACCTAAATGCTTGTGGCAGCAAAGTTTGACTTCCTGTCACCGAGTTTTCTTTAGCATATCGGGAACAGAATTCATGAACACAAAGCAAGATAACTTTTACACCATTAGTATGGCACAGAATGTGCTGCTGCTAATCCATCGCATGCATCAAACTCTCGAACAGATGCTGCAGGCTTAACCATAGAAGGATCCAGTTTTGATGGCATCCGCATTGGCGTCGCCGAGTGCAGCCTCGCTCAAGTACTTGTCCGCCAACTGCACCCTCTTCACGTTCTCCTGCTCCCTCACCAGCATGTTCCCATACTCCGTCAGCTTGTCGAGCGTCATCTTGGGTTGCTCAAACGTCGGCGGCCCTTCGAGCGAATTGACGAGCTTCTTACCCACCTTCTCGACTCCAATCTCCGCCACCCATTTCCTCACCTCGTCATCGTAGACCCTGGCTCTGAGGGCACCGAAGAAATCTGCATGTTTCGAGCACAACACAGATAGTCAGATGTCTTGTCTTTTGTTGACAGTCGTCCAAATCTGCATGAAGGCTTACCGATCGACTGGCCTGGGAAGGCATCAACGAGCTTGACGATGTCCTCCATGGGGACGTTGTCGGTCCTGAAGATACCTAAGCAGACACCGATCCGGTCCTCCCTGGTCGGTGCCCAGTAGAACTTCTCCATGCGACCGTCGCGAATGAGAGGAGCATACAGCGTGGAGAAGTCATTGCCGGTGACTATGATCGGGACGCGGGCGTTCTCCTGCTTGTTGTACATCCCCGGGAGCTGCACGTTGGTCGGGTTGTCGGCGATGTTCATCAGGGTGGCGTTCACCATCTGGTTGTTGACGGTGTACTGGGTGGTGCCGCCCAGCCTCCCGGCACCTGCGTCGAGATCGTTGATGAAGAGGCAGCACATCTTCCCCTTCTTGATGATGTCTGCCGCCTCTCGGTACCGTTGCCTGATCAACTTTGCCGGCTCCCCCGCGTTCCCGCTCTCCAGTTCTCCGGCACTCATCACGATAGGACTGCAAGCAAACGTCGAAAGGGTAGTAAGAGATGTGAAGAGGTAGAACATAAGCAAGCAGCAAACACTAACTTGATCCCCATCTTGGCAAAGACGAGCTCGCACTGGAACGATTTCCCCTGACCTTTGCCTCCCCATATACCCAAAATTAGGGGAACCTGTTCGACGTTAAACCAGTCATCATCTCATGGCAGGAAAGAAGCATCAAAGAGAGGACGAGCTGGAATGCTGGACTGCTGACCTTGATGTTAGGCAAGTTCATGAAGTTCTTGGCGATGTGCACAACAAGCTTGTCCATGAAAGCTGGTGCGATGTAGTATCCGTCCATGGTGTTGTCGAAGTTGTACCTGTCACATATCATCACCACGTACAGTCAAGATTATTAGCTGTCCTAAGAACAGAATACGTTGGTGTTTTGGTTCTTCTTACTGGCGGAGACCCTGGCTGATGTACTCGTAAGAGCTCATAACGGGGATGTGGGTTCCGTCGCCCATGGGAGCTTGGAAGAGAGTGTCGACCAGCCCCTTCCCTCTTGTGATATCCTGCTGGTCATCGGATACATCGGACGCAAGGCCTGCCCATCTGTCGCTGCTCGTCTGCTTCGACTCGTCGAGATCGGCAGCCAAGACCTTGAAGCTAGCAGTCGAGACCCGTCCATGGCTCAGGCCGGAGTTTGCTTTCTTCAGAGCGCTCCCGAAGAAAGCCGAGCTGGGGACAGAAGCACCTGAGCTTGACCCATGCAGGCTTAACTACACGTAACAAAAGTGCGAGCATCAAACAAGAAGAACTCTACTCCTTCATAAACAAAGCAAGATGTGAAGCCTAGTGCTGTTTGGTACCGGCACTCGGTTGACAGCCCCAACGGTGGAGACGGCGGCGGCCATCTGACAACCAAAGGATCAAACGGTGAGGGAGAGCTGTTCGGGATGCACCAAGGATGTTGGAAACGGGAGCTTATATAAGGCAGGAGATGGAAGAAGCGATGTTTCCCGTGCTTGGTATCTTGTGGTTTTGGTTCACAGGCTTGGACGGCCACAAACTCGGGATTGGTGTGGATTAACGTGGCGCCATGGCGGCCGGCTGATGGATCTCGGAGAAGCTGTGCCCTCGATGTCGTTTCTTCCCTTCCATTCCTTGTCCTTGTCTACGTTTCCTCACCATCAGTTCCTGAAGAAAGACTCGCGCGTTCTCAGTGTCGGAATCATCCTGTTCACTTGTGCCAAGTTACCAGCTCTTTCTCTTTTGTTTGTTTCGCTCTCTGGTTGTTTCCGGGCCGTTCTAAGAAGGACTCGGCGTCCTTTTGCATTAATCTCTGAGATCATTTCACAGGCATGCACGCATTGATCATAAAACCATATGCCTTCGAAGCAACTTCTTCAGCGCGGCTCTTTGCATCATCGATCTGTTGATTCCATTGCTTTGCTCTTAATAGTTACAGATGACCAACTTTATCTGTGAATTCATCTTTTTCTTTCACGTTCATAAAAGGTTGGAAAATGAGAAGCATAACAACACCTCCTGTAGCAGTTGACACCTTCAGGTTGGAAAAGGTTCTACAAAAAGAACCAAGTAGTTTCTTAGCAGAGCCTATAGGAAAGTAGTACATGCTAGATGGCAGGATCAATATCCTAAATGAATCATAATAGGGAAGCTTCTCTTTTTTTTAGGTTTTCTCAAGAAGCACCTCATTTCCAGAATTCTCAAATACAGTTTTCTTTTCTAATACCTAAAATATCCTCACTCACCAAATCTTTTCTTCATTTTTTTTTCTTCTTATGGATTAGTCCACAGGGTAAACTAGTCTAATTACAATATTTATATACTGCATTACAGTGTTTTCAATAATATCTAAAAGTATTTTAACATTGTATTACAGTGTTTTTCTAGTATTATTGAAAATACTGTAATGTAATGTAAAAACACTATAAAATATAATATTTTATAAAATTGTATAAAAATATTATGTTATAATATTTTTATATTATTTTTTTATATTACTGAAAACACAATAATAACACAATATTTTCTTCTTTTTTCTTTCTTATGGACTAGTCCATAGGAAAAACTAGTCTAATTACAATATTTATATACTGCATTACAGTGTTTTCAATAATATCAGAAAAGTATTTTAACATTGTATTACAGCATTTTTATTTCATGTTACAATATTTTTTAGAATTATTGAAAATAAAAATATTATGTTATAGTATTTTTTTTAACTCTGTTACAATGTTTTTCTAGTATTATTGAAAATACTGTAATGTAATGTAACAACACTATAAATATAATATTTTTTATAAAATTTGTATAAAAATATTATGTTATAATATTTTTACATTATATTTTTTATATTACTAATAATATCTTTTTTTTCTTATGGACTAGTCCATAGGAAAAACTAGTCAAAATACAGTATTTATACACCACATTATAGTATTTTTAATAATATCATAAAAAGTACTTTCACATTGTATTACAGTATTTTTTGTTGAAAACAAAAATAGTATGTTATAATATTTATAACTATGTTACAATGTTTTTCCAGTATTATTCAAAATACTGTAATGTCATGTAAAAACACTATAAATATAATATTTTTATATTATATTTTCAGATCTTTGAGCCAAAACACACAAAAGTTTTTTCTGAGATATAAGAAGAAAATTCTTTAGAAAACAACCCATGGTTTCCGAGCACAGTGATCAATACATCTGCATGCTGGAAGGAAGACGTTTGTTTATGTGCAGGAGGTCTGAATCCGAGATTGCTCACCTGTTCCGGTTTCTGCAATACAGGAAGATGAGCAATAAACAAGAAGCATACAGTCAAAATAGTTTCAAGAATAAGCTTCAAAATACCTCATCTAATATCTCTAAAAACCCACAAAACACTGCATCTCGTAAGCTGTTATCGAATTTATTTAGTTTCAATTAATTCATGAAACCCGTCGGAATTAACTGAGGCGTGCATCTTCTATATGCATATCATCAGCTCCAAGTCAATCACCAAGAACAGAAAGAAATATTGACGATTAGAGGAGGGTGAGGTCAATTATATGCATGTTTTATTGTGTTATGGTATGTATGTCACAGTGATATATTCATAATAATTATAGTATTTTTTATAATATATTCATATCATTTATTATTTCATTAAACTAGTTTTATCAATGGTGTCATCTTAGCACTATAAACTTTTTATGTAATTATTTTAAGGATCCTAAAATGCAAAAAGAACGATTAGAATTACCAAACTGATTTGTAGAGGATTAGAGGAATAATTAATCACAATATTTCGATACAATTGTTCTTCTTTTCTCTTCAGATGCGAGATCTAATATAGAAAATGGATTTACCGGTACAGGATACGCTTGCCGTCGATCTGGTCGTCGTGCGTAGAAGACACCTGCAAAAGGATTTTGATTGGGAGTCGCATCTCATCTCATTGAAGCTAAGGGAAAGGGAATGTATCTGATCAACGCTGCTGCATATGAGATGTCAATGGTCATGTATTATATGCCAGCGACCGGGTCGGAGTGCCGGCCTTCAATCATAATTAACGGTGACCTACAATGCCACGTTTTGCTTTAAGATTAAAAGAGATTGCCGGCGTCGGCTCTTAAATTATTAACTCATTGTGGGCCAAGAAAGAAAAGCCCATATAGGCCCAACCCTAAGAATAGATTTCAGTGGGAAAAGAAGATTTACTCGAGTGAGTGGGTTATCCAAGTGAACCATATACTTGTTATTTTTCTCCTTATTTTTTGGATCCTATAGTTTGTTGGATTAGTGTCAGGCTTAAGTTGTTAAGCAAGAGCTCAGTGTATATTAAACTTTAACATACCCTCTCATCACTGACAAATTAGATGTAGTTTGACATGTGAATTAAATCTAAGTGAGAGAAAGATATTATATAACTATCAATTAATCATAGATAAAATGGATATTATACAATTATTAAACGATGAGTTAAATATAGAATTCAGACGATGAGTTATACCATTATAAATTTTTTGATTTGATTCGTCACAAATCCCAAAAGTATTGAGTGGTTGAGAAGGGGCTCAATTAATTACTTAATTTTCTTCTGGATGAAAAATTGATAAAATTTGGCATCAATCATGAATGAAATAAACAAAGCTAATAATGACACATCAGAGTCAACTTTGCATCGATTAGCAGCCATTTATTTCCACTGCAAATTTATGGCTATGATTTCTTGATCCATTGGAAGGAGGAGACACCAAGTCCACTAAGGTTCTTCAAATGTATATCCCAACTACTGCTTGACCTTTTCCAAACAAAGCATTTCCTTGTCATAGAACTTAACTACATAAATTGTTGTGGCTCAATTGTCTCTTCGGAACGGTTCTCTCTCTCTCTCTCTCTCTCTATCCCTCTTCTCTACACTTTTTATAATTTTCTTGTAAAATGACTTACATGTCTTCTTCTTAGATTAGCTTAACACAATTCTTTGCTTTCATAAATTGTATTAGTTCGTTGATTGTTAATTCAAATTACGAAGATAATCCGTAACACTTTAATAATTAATTTAACAATATAAATCTTGAGGAGGAACTATATGGATAGAAAGATTGAGGGGGTATCGAATGTTTGTGCCTCCATAAATGATAAAAAAAATAAATTTTAAATAATCTCTTGTTGGATAAAAAGAAATATTTATTAAAATTTGATGTGGCTACCTAACATATATAGACATCCAAACATGGAGTCTTAATTGGAGGGTGAATGAATATTGACTTTGTACAACAATCAAAATGTGAAACAAAATATTGTGAGAATGAGACATGAGTCTCTATTCACACACTTAATTCTAGTCTCGAGTCTTTTTGACTCGACGTAATAGCTTTGTTTTCCACAAAAGTAGATCTGCTGCTGCTGCCAGCCATAAAAATTGAGAGGCTCACAATGGAGTGGTTGTGCTTTTAAAAAGAATAACAATAAAGAAGACGACAACAATCGTATATTATTCAACACAGTTGCTTTCAACGGTTTCGGTGGGCAGTAACTGCTGCTGATCGACTCCATCCACATACACACTTGCTTTCTCCACCCTCCCCCACCCACACTCGCTGCAAAGAGATTGGCAGAGTAAAGTAGGTAGGAAGGACGAGGAGAAAGCGACGCTAATGCTGTCTTCTCTCCTCGACTTCGTCTCTCCCGTGATATCATGCGTCGCTCAGCTTGATATCACAATGACTTCAGGTATTTCTCGCTAACTGTATATGATTAAGAGATGATTGTTTTTTATCATATTCAACGTATTATGAACATTTCGAATTATAATGATCCGATTCGATATATGTTCGACGCATATTTTATCGATTGTAAAAGAAATTATTTAATATAAATATGGATTATTAAGAAAAGTATATATATATATATATATATATATATATATATATATATATAGTACGTACG